TATTCAAAAAGTATCCACCATAGTGTATGTTGGTAGTGAATATATTACTGGACATCTGGACAAAAAAAACACAAATATCATTATTAAAATCATATGCACATCATTAACCTAAGAGAGACAACATTCAAGTATAGTAAAATCCTTCCTCATTTATCAAGCATGCTATTAATTAGAGGTTTTGAACCTGGTCATTAATCGAATGCAAGTTCTAACATCCAAATCCAAGATAATCAAATTCGGAGTCAAATCGGGTATTGGACTTTTAGAGTCTATTGACAACCTTAGTAGGCAGGGCCCAAGCTAAGTAACCCCTATGCTTAACCTGAAAGTCATATACATGTATATTTAGATAACAAATTTTATATTAATATATAATTGAAATAACTGTATATTTTTATAATAGATTAAGATTAAATAAAAAAATTTAAATTGTAAAAACCATAGTTTTATAATTAATATGGGCAAGCTTGTTCCTATCCCAAGCCCAAACAAATATTATTACGCTTGGGGTGTAGGTCGAGTTAAGCCAAGCAACCTTAAAAACTGTTAATACACTATAAAAAATTGGCTTGAGATCTTTTATTTATTTATTTTTGTTCATTAGGCTACACAATGGGGTAGCCCATCCCCCATATCTCCTTTTGATTAAATATTAATAATTTTCATCTAAAAATAATTAAAAACCCCAGAATAATGCATATATGGGTTGTACTTGGTTTGATTTAGTCTAATTATGAATGCCACATTGCTCTTAGGGTGTAACTTGGGGGGGTAGATCAGGTTGAGGATCAACCAAAGCTCAACCTAAAGTCTTAAACCTTGAGCTCAAGCTTGGATTAATTTAATTATGACTACAACAAAATTTAATATATTTACTAATATTTACATAAAATTGTAAAAATCTAAGACACAATATGAAAAATAATTATAATTATCAAGAAATTAACTAATAAACAATTGAAGCTGGAACACTCAAGTCTCCCTCTTTAGCTGGTAAGACATATTTCTCATATTGGTATCTTTTCCATCTTTTCATGCAACAATCTTGCAATAATACATTTTTCATCAATATTTGATTTTGTTCCCCCTTTTGTCATCAACAAAAGGGAAGGGGGTAAGGGGTAATTATAAATCTCATCATTTATCATTTATCAAACATATAATGAGAGAGGAGATTTTCTAAATGAGGTTGAAACAGTTGGAATCATTCCAAGTTGGGATTAACACCTCAACACCAAATATTAGCAAATGCTATTATCTCAAAATGAATCTATGAACAATGAAGCATAGGAGAGAAGCATAAATATCATATAAATCATATTGTCATTTGGTGAACATCATTCCACATATCATACCACAATGAACATTCTCGTCAAAATAATAATATAAGATAATTAAGCTCAAATGAGAAACAATGCAAAGGTCATATATCAAATATAAATTAGACCAATCAATCATTTATCTAAGGTTCATTTCACCTATTTTGTCAAGGAGGCAGTGCCTTGACCTTCTTGAGCATTCATATGTTTTGAACAATAATATGCTCTAGGGAGTTAAATTTTGGTGCTCTCCCTTTCATAGATGTCTCTTTCAGTCCTCAACATCATTATCTCTTTTTTTGAGCTCCAATAATTTTTGAGCTAAATGATGCTCTAGGGGTTTAAAATTCTTAGGCTCCCCTTTTACAAATGCTTTTCTCAAATCATTGCATCATTTTCTCTCTCTCTCTCTCTCTCTCTCTCTCTCTCTCTTTCCTTCTCATCAAAACACATATGTATAATTGCTTGCTAAGAAGATATATAATAGATCAATTGGATATAGGGATGCAAACATATCAGATCGGATCCGAATCAGGGTATATTCTAATTCGATAAGACATTGTTCATGTCAGATCCGATCCAGTCTGATCGGTCTTGATTTGAATTTGAATCCTACTAGTAAGTCAGATCTTCAGTCCAATCCAACTTGTTTTCTTTAAAAATTAATAAATTATTAAAATAAAAATAAAATATACTAATTTAAATAAAGTAAAAACAAAAATACAAGTGTTTTTTTTTTTAATTATTTTCATCATATATACATGTTTTTTTTTATAAAAAATAAATAATATAACAAAGTTATAAAAATATAATACAAAAATATATTTATAAATAACACAATTTATATTTATAAATATGTAATATGTATCAAATCAGATAGGGGGTGATCTGAATTTGATCCAATTTCTGATCGAATCATATTATCCGATCAAAAGATCCAAAAATAGGTGGTCCGAATTTGACCAAATAGGATTGGATATTGGATAAGATTGGATTATGATCCGATCCATTTGCACCCTTAATTAGATAATGCCCGCATCATCTTTGCCAATTGAATATGGAAATATGTTAAGTTCTCATAGCTCAGTATAATTTGGAAATATGTTGGATTCTCAAGGAAATATAAATTTTTAGTTACCAATTTGAAAAAATATTGATTGATTAGGAATAACAATGGGGTAGGTTCAGGACAAGGCTTTCTCATTCCTCATTGGGTCCAGGAAATCCTCACATTTTGCTCGCATTGAGGCAACCCCCTAAAAATGCATAAAATTTAGGTGTAGGGGTGCAACTTGGGCAAGCCCAATTCGAAATTTTACTCAACCTGGGATTGGATTTTTGGTCCTCGGACTGGGTTCAGGCCCAAAAAGTCAGGCTTTTTTATTTTTTGGGTTGAGCTCGAACCTAGCCCTCAGGTAGCCCGAGCCTATATATATATGTAGATTTTGCATACATATTTACATATATACATAAATATATGTATACATATTTGCATAAATGTACATACATATGCATAATTTTAGAGTGAGTTCATTGACCAACCCGAGCCCGACTGAGGCCTAAACCCAACCCGAGTGCATCAAATTACAATGTGTGCTGGGCTTGGGTTGGGAAAACTGGGCTTGACCTTGGACTTAGGCCGTAAGCCCAAATTTTAGGGTCGGGCCCGGGTTGACCATAAACCCAGCCCAGCCCGCCTGACTTGCACCCCTATTTAGGTGTCTTTTAGTAATGGATGATGGGAATCTTAGGGTATTTTAGAAATGAGATTGGTCACTTAAGGGTATTTTAGAGATGCGATTATGGGTTCCTAGGGTTTTGAGAATTTTAGAGAAACTTAGGAACATTTTAGAAATCAATAATAAATCAGATTAATTTAATAATTTACTACCAGGTTTGGGGGGTTATATGCCAACCCCTTCCCTAGTTCGGGGCAAAAAAATTTTCCTTATCCATGCTCCATCCCTTTTTAAGATCGAGGAAATCCACCCCATTTGGGGTAGGGTAAGGCAATGCCTCTATTCAATGGGGAAAATTGCCATCCTATGATTGATCCGGTTTGATTGCCAAATTTGCTACATATTTTTTTTAGAAAATATATCTTGAATAGAAACACTACTAATTAACATGTTTTTTGTTAAAACATTAACTTCACTATTAATTAAAATTTGAATAAAATGTTTTTCATTACATTTTCAAAAACTTTTTGTTAAAAGTTCACATATTTTTTTATAATTTATTTGAAAATTTCAATAATAATTTTCTAAAAGTAATTTCCTATGAACATGAATTGTCTCTTATAGCTCGACTACAACGAACTTAAGTTTTGGAAGCATTGAGTGGTAGATCAAATGGATTAGGTTGTTTCCCTAGCTTTGTCAATTTCGTAGGAGAAGAATAAAGCATAAGAAGAAATGCACTAAGAGCCCAACAATTGCTACACATCAAGAAGACAGAGTTCATAGTTCGTTCTTTTTGAACATCTAAAAATCGTTTGACCCGCTAACTTCAATTACTAGTTCGTATTGAATTGGACCGATTTGGTTTGATTAGTTCAACTTGGGTATGCAATTTTGAAAATAAATGAGCAAATGAGAGAAGTGTTGACTAAAAGATAATTTTATTAATTAGAAAAAGAAGGGTAGATAACACAAAAAAGTTATTAACAATTTTGTTAATTAATAGAACAAATTGATAAAATAAGGGAAATTTTTGAAAATTAGAAAACAACAAAATAAAAAAATTTAAAACTGAATTTTTAATTAATTGATAAATTAAGAGAAAGTTTCACTAAAAGCAAAAAAAATTAATATATTAAATGTAATATTTAATGAGAAAATATTAAAAATAAAAAAACTATAAATAAGGGAAAATTAAAAATCAACAAATAATTAAATAACTTGTAATATATTTTATAAAAAATTAATATTTAAATAATTTTTAAAAACTTAACATAATTAAGAATGATAAAAAATTGTTATCAAACTTTGCAAAAATTGTTTTATTAGTTAAAACTAATACAAATTAATAAAAATAATTTAATTAAAATCAATAAAAAATATTTTTAATTTAAATTAATAAAAAAGTAACTCTCCCTCTCCCTAATCCCTTATAGATTTTTGGTCTTTTCTAAATTTATTAGACAATACCTAACCCAAGAATAATATTGAGATGAATAGTATTCAACTTGGTCCAATTAGAATTGTTCTAGAGTAAAAAATTAACACAAATTTATCTAACAACACATCATAAGGCCACTACCCACAATTTCTTTTAACAACATGCATGCATCGGGGCCCAAGTATATATATATATATTTATATGTGATATATGATATATGATGTAGCATAATATGACATACAACTTGCATGTATAAATTTACATTTAATATAAAAAAAAAATATATTGCGGGGTGAGATTATATAGTGTTGGGCCCAGGCCCGGCCCTAAAATTTTCAAGCCTAATTCGGGTCCGGATTGGCCAGTTGGGCCGGGATGGAAATGATTATACCGTGGCTTTCTACTTTTCTGCCTTTACTTCTTGTAAGATTCTTGTGCTTGTATTTTGTGGTTCCAAAAAAAATTTTAAACAAATCATATCGATGACGTGGCCTTCTCATCTACCGTTAAAAGAGCACTCCATCCTTTTCAGAAGTAGAAACCAGGTCTGCGAAATATATAGTTCATCCCTCGACTATTCTGCGGCTCTGCGCAACGAGTTTACAAACCCATCGTCTCCGTTCCATCTCGAATCGCTTTCTTCGTCTCCCACCAAAGTTTCTCTCTCTCTATTAAGGTTTGTTGACTCATGTCGATTCCCTCCTCATTTCGTGTATTTTCGCCTAAAGTTCCACAAACTATCCGTCTCCAAATCCCAGTTCTGAAAACCCTGATCCCATCAACGTCGATTCCTTCAAAATTTCCCTTGTTTTCATCAATTTCAATACAAAGACTACCAACCAAACCTGTTTCGGCTTCTCCGTCTTCATCTTCTTCTTCTCTGCAATCCATTGAAGAGCTCCCACCGAAGCTTCAGGAGATTGTAAAACTTTTTCAAGCGGTGCAAGAACCCAAGATGAAATACGAGCAGCTCATGTTCTATGGCCGTGGCCTCACTCCTCTTGCTGCCCAGTTCAAGACCAACGAGAACAAGGTCCAAGGATGCGTCTCTCAGGTCTGGGTAAGGGCTTACCTTGACCCGGATAAGAACGTCAGATTCGAGGCGGATTCCGATTCGGTCCTTACCAAGGGACTCGCTGCCCTACTCGTTCAAGGGCTCTCAGGGAATCCTGCACCGGAAATTCTGAAGGTTTCGCCGGATTTCGTCACGCTACTGGGGCTCCAGCAGAGCTTGACTCCTTCCAGAAATAACGGCTTCTTGAATATGTTGAAGTTGATGCAGAAAAAGGCACTGCAGTTGTATATAGAGTCTCAAGAGAGTAATGGGTCAAGTTTGAGAGCGGATTCTCAAGTGGAATCGGTGGGTACAAGTGGAATCGGTGGAGCTGAGGCTAATAGTCAAAATTCAATGGAGGGTACTAGTGGAATCAGCGGAGCTGAGTCGAATTCTGAAGTGGGTGGTGAAAATTTGAAGCCGGGTACCGACGAAGTTGATGAAACTGAGTCAAATGGGAGAGTGGGTTTGGGGAGTAGAGGAGAGAGGATAAGAGAGAAATTGGATAGGATGCTTCGTCCTATAGAATTGGAAATTGAAGATATCTCTCATCAACACGCAGGGCACAAGGGAGTTGGGGGAAGAGCAGGCGAGACACATTATAATGTAAGAATCGTTTCTAAGGAGTTCGAAGGGAAGAGTCTGGTGAAGCGGCATAGGCTTATCTATGAGTTGTTGCAAGAAGAGTTGCAAACAGGATTGCATGCGCTCTCAATAGTGGCAAAGACGCCCTCTGAAGTCAGTGGGAGATGATTTAGATCATCCCAACAGAGAAATGGTCCCTTTTTGCTATCCTTCTCAGTTCTCGAATTTTGTTGTTTCATTTATATGTAGTTTTTTTCCTCCCTCTTCAACATGTGTAAAGCATTACCTGGAGTAACTTAATAAATGCGATAGATTATGGGCGCATATATCGGCTTATTCAAATGTATAATGACCTGTATTTGAGTTTTGTTGAAAGAAAGTTATTAGAGAACCAGCATCATATGTTCAATTGTCTTGCCAATTTATGCACTTGCTTGATTTTATTGACTTCTCTGTAGTTCCAGTGAGTTAGGTTTAACCGGTCTATAAATGCGTCAAATCTTTATATGTTAGACTATTCCATGGTAAAGCATTTATATTTGTCTTGGTTTCTTAGGCTGCATTTGGCATTCCTTATTTTAAGGACTTATCTCCTTTTTGCAGTTAAAATGCCTCCAAATGCAGCCTTAGTCTCATCAACTGAGCTATAGCAAAAGGTTCATGGCTTGCAACCATTCTCATAACTTAGGATGCTGTTCAAATTGATATTTTTTCAAGCAAGTAATTCATTAATCAAAAACAAATACTCATCCAGCCCATGTTGAGGACCTGTACATTAGGACTATAAACAGACCAAGTATCAGAATCTAAATGTATGACCAAAATATCCATATCACAAAACAACTTATACAAGGGGCACCAATAAAATTTTTATGAACACATACCAGGAAACTAACATACCTTGATCCCATTCACAATTTCCTCCACCTTGGAAGCCTTATTCTCAAAAATACATGCATGCTTTTCCCTCCATATACTCCAAAAGACAACAAAAGGAACTCTGTACTCCACACTATATTGCTTTGTTTGCTAAGTCCTTCAGTTCCCTGGAGTCTAACAGTATCCCTTCTATCACACAAGGATGAACTTCTTAAGGCACAATGTTCAGGGAGTTGGTCATTAAAGAAAAAACAAGCACATAAAGAAGCTCTCTTTCTCTATCCTCTTTCCCTTTCAAGTATCACGGTATGGTAGTTCTTCTTAGTCTGTCAACCTTCCCATGTTGTTTTACGTTACAGGGAGATGTAGATGAGAAGAGAAGTCTTATTTACAGTCCACACCTGGAGACTGTTGTGAATAATTGTTGACACAATTCAGAAATTTCTTCGTGTGTAGTAGTTCTTGAGAATACCTATTGCTTGGTTTCAACTCCAATAGACTCAAAACAAAGAAAAATCTGGACTTTAATGCTGTTCCTCAGAGTATTCATAGTTCCATTGCTGCCATTGACAGTATTGGTTAGTTCTGTTTTTGCTAGATTCATTGTGCTGTTCTATCACCTGAGACTCTCTGCTCGAAGCACAATGGTGTAGTCGGGAATTTTGGAGTTCCTGATTATGGAGGAACCATGATAGGTTCTGTTTTTTACCCCGGCAAGGCCTCCAATGGTTGTACTACATTCAAGGGAGACTATCCTTTTAAGTCCCATTATTCTCATTCCACCGTTCTTCTTGATTGTGGAGGTAACTAATTCAGTATTGCATCCTTGAAATCTGATGCCCTACAGTAATTGGGCAGTTTTTTAGCAGATAGTAGCTAATTTATAATTTTCTATTGATTAAGTTGTTATGAAATAACTTTTCTGCTTTTAAGTGATGCGCAGTTGTTTATTTCTAGGTTCATGTTTTTGGACTTTCTAATGTTGACTGTAAAACAAGCAATTTCCTGTGATCTGGAGGTGTCAGTTTCTGCATCCTCATTCAGATTGCCTGATTTCTGTCTTCTGATTCTGGTATCTGTTTTTTTTTTTTTGTTTCCATTCTATTAGTTTTTCTATCCCCTTTCCATGTGTTTATCTCTCCTTTTTTTTCCATTGATAAACTTGACCATCCATGAAGCAGCTCTTCATTTCATTCTTTCATTTTTTTTTTATGTTTTTATTTTGAGAAGTTCATGGTATTATGGGATAAATGTTAATTTAATGGACCTAAAGTGAAAACCTCAGTAACCAATTATTTTATTGCACTGTATGGAATGTCTTTCATGTTCATCTTTTTATTATTATCAATGTTTTAAAATGTGGAGCCATGATACAAGGCATTCCACTACCTAGAGGCGTGAGTCATAGTTCAGAATTTAAGAGGCGTAAGCTTCTTTAAGAGGAGGGGGATGGGGAGGAAGAAGAAGGAGGTCGAGGACAAAGACAAGTCATATGCATACCAGAAAGTAGAAACAACACAGGTTTGAAAGCTTTAGCAGGATCGCTTTGAGAGTATTTAAGCAGGTTCAATGAAACAAGAGGGCTTGAAAAGGAGGCAGAAGAAGAAAATCAACAGGAAGTCCGGGAATTAAAGTTATAGAAAGAGGAAGAAACCAGAACAGAGAGGTTAGACTTGAAGCTACCTCTGATTTGCTTCATGGTAGCTCCAAGGTTGGCTGTACATGATGGGTGTGAAAACTGTGAGAAAAAAATGGTGGTATTGTTGAAGAATAAAGTGAAAGATTGGAAGGAGATTCTGAATACTATTGCGAGCAAAAAGTGGTGGTATTGATCGGTCCTAACCTTGTGAACTCCAAGACTTGAATCCAGGCGGAGCTCTCAACTTGGGCTTGGATTCCAAGCAAAGGGAGTCTGGTCTGCTCACCTGAATGACACAATCCGAGGTGCAGGGAGCTTCCATTGAAGACCCAGGAGCTGTCGGTTGAAGATCTGGAGGAGGAAAGTGATGTGGATTCGTACGAACCATCCAACATAGGTAACATTGAGGAAGATGTTACAAACAACAGAGAAATTGAATGAGGAGAAGAGCTTCCATACGAATCTCCTATTTGTGGAAGATGTTACAAACAACAAAGAGATTGAGACCGAAGCTAGTATTATAGAGAGGGTGAAGGTAACTTTAGCTGAAGTAAGGAAGTCTGCGTCTCCCAACGAGAGAGACTCAAAGCCAAAACCGCAACTAGCTCGGAGACTCGGTAAAGAGGGTTCAAATCCATACTTTGGAAGGAAATCGGATTCACCAGACATGGAAGAGCATGGAGAAGGTCCTTCCATTCACAGTCTGCTTCTTGGCCCTATTGTCCAACAAAAGGTTCTCACTATGGAGTACGGAACCTCCTATTGTACAACTTTTTGTTCCAGAGAACCATCCCAAACCCCCTATGTTAGGTATCCTTGTCAATTATGTTTTTGGTATTGATAGTTTCCTTGTGTGTGGTATAGATACAATGGCTCCCTCACCTATTTCCCAACAAGGCATTGAAGGGAACTAGTAAGTCAGGATTGGAAAGAATATTGGAGAATGAGGCTGATAGAATCTGGAGTTTGGTCTGGGGTGAGTTAGAGGGTCTCAAGAAGAAAGAAACGGAAAAAGAAGATAGGGGTAAGTTGAACTTATCTGGTCAGAGGGAAGAAGAGGAAATAGGGGTCCATGGTGGTGAAGAATTAGAACTGGGTTTCAACCAGGAAGAAGATGGGGCAAATGAGGTAAGGGTCTATTGCAGGAAAAATGAAGAAAAGAAGAAAAAGAGAAGGAAGAAGAAGTCAGAAGTGGAAAGATTGAGGTTGGATGTTGAAGGTGATATTGAGTTCAGTGGAAGGGGTGAAAGGAGGAGAAAACAAAACTGGGGGAGGAACAAGTTAATAAGATTGTTACCTTGAGCAAACATTATGAAAATAATCAGTTGGAACGTAAGAGGACTTGGGAGTGTGAGGAAAAGAAGAGCTATCAAAGATTTACTTAGAAGGGAAAAGACAAACATTGTGTTGATACAAGAAACTAAACTGATGTAGGTGGATAAGAATCATTCAGGGTTCAATGGGTGTTAGATGGTTTGATAAAAAAAGGGTGTTAGATGGTTTTTCATTCCTTCTTGTGGAGCCTTTGGGGAATGGTGACAATGTGGAAGGATGATGTGGTAGAGTCAATAGAGTAATTGATAGGGTGATTCTTGATATCAATGAAATTCAAAAACAATAAGGATGGTTTTATATGGGTTCTCAACTTCTCACCAATGTTTATGGTCCAAATAGATACCAGGAAAGAAATGAAATGTGGGAGGAATTCTATGCTACTAGGGGCTTATGGGATGGGTTGTGGTGTGTAGCAGGGGATTTTAATGTGGTGAGGTTCTCAAATGAAACAAACAACTCCAACCAGCAGGTTACCACTGGTATGAGGAGATTCAATAATCTTATAGAGATTTGTGAACTGAAGAAAACTCCCTTGTTACAAGCCCGATTCACGTGGTCAAATTTACAGGAAGTGCCCTTATGTTCAAAACTAGACAAATTTTTGTTAAATGAACTTTGGGAATCCCATGTAGAAAACCTGGTGTCTAGAGCTTTACCTAGAGTGGAATGGAAAGGGCCAAAGGGGTAAGATTTCACAAAAAATTAAAGAGATTGAGAGAAAGAATTAATGATTGGAATAGGGAGTAGTTTGGAAGAGTAGAGGAGCAAAAGATTACTCTCTTGTCTAAATTAGAGGAGTTGGATGAAAAAGAAGCCCAGGGGACTCTTGTCACAGAGGAAAGAGCGGTAAGATGTAGGGTTAAGAAAGAGTTGGAAGAAGTGCTCATAAGGGAAGAAATTTGTTGGAGACAAAAATCTAGATGCAAATGGATTAAGGAAGGGGATGGTAATACAAAATTCTTTCATGCCTTGGCAAATGGGAGGAGGAGAAAAAATTATGTGGCTAGGTTAGAGATAGGAGGGCCAGAGATAACCAATCAAGAGGAAATTGCAAAGGTTTTTGTGGACCATTTCAAAGCCCTAGGATCAGATTGCTTTACAGTGGCCTTTTACCAAGATTGCTGGGAAATTGTGAGAGATGACTTGGTCGAGGTTTTTAAGGAATTTGTAGAGAAGCATAAAATTAGCCCAAGGGTGAATGTAACCTTTCTAGCTCTTAATCCAAAGAGAGTCAATGCCAGTCACCCAAAGGACTTTAGACCATTCAGCCTCGTAACCAGCATTTACAAGATCTTAGCCAAGGTCCTCTCATTAAGTATTAAATTTGTTCTCCCAGCTGTAATCACTCAAAATCAAGGGGTTTTCATTCAGGGAAGCGGATAGCTGATCAAATTCTAGTAATGAATGCATGAAGGATTTGAAAAGATCAAGAAGGAAAGGTTTTGTGTGCAAGTTGAACTTGGAGAAAGGTTATATGACATGGTGAACTGGACCTTCCTTATCAAGGTGGGGAAAAATTATGGGTTTGGATCCCAATTAC